ATGCGAGCAAACTTGCAACAAATCTGTGTTATGTGGAAGACAGGGTATGTTCATAATAGCTACAGTAACATGGAACAGATAAGGAGTTAATTAAGCAAAAAGGACAGTTTGAAAGCATAGAGACATGAGGGAACGTCAATCGACGAAATAGCAGTCTAGACCGAGTTGGAAATAGAAAATGAAAAACGACCACCGGCCGCGTGTTGGACCACCGGTCCCGATAAAAAGCACCACCGGTGCCAGAGGCAATCGCCTCATAGAAAAAAGGTAAGCGAAGGAGTTTGGATGTGAGAAACAAGATATGACCCGTAAGACGGAACTGGTATTTCACTGAACTCGGGTTACCCTCGAAGTTCAATGAACACCAGCACAGTCCAATTAGAAGCAAAGAAAAACAAATATTGGGGAAAGGAAAGATTCGTCTCAGGCCAGGCTCAGTCTTAGCAAAGCGCAGATTACCATAGTGTCGTACATTAATGCCGGCGCCAAGAGTAAATGTCATATTCGTAGTCAGGATAGCCCTCGTATATAAGTTTTAATCGATTTTGGTGATTTAGGGTGTTTTGGCGCCGTCGCCTGTGGCGCGGGCGCCAAAGTACTTTGAATCATCAATCGACAGGTCTCGGACGAAGCGAAAGCCATATTCGTGTTCAGGAGGTCGAAGCACTACTATAAACAAACTTTCAGCATAATCTGTTTTTTCAAGAAAAAAAATCGATAAAAAAGCAGCCTGATTCCGGCAGGCTGGGGTAGGAATAGTTCGATAGCGCCGAAAACCAGAACCAGAAGCTAGAAAACTAATAAGAAAAACTAAAAAAGAAAATCAACAAAACACTAGAAACGAAAAACAAGAAAAAAACTCACCATGAGACATGGAAGCCAGAACTAGTAAATAGCATTTGAATATTAATTGTTCGCGGTCATTCGGCTAATACAAAGGGATTGGAGCGAGCTATTTTACGACCCGGAGCCAGTTTCAAGCCAAACACGCGAAAAGTGCCATTCATTTAAACATCCATAACTTTTTTGAGAGTAGAGCTTTCGGAGAGGGGAACTATGTTGGCACTTGTTACCTGATTTTGAACCATTTCAAACAATATCCTTTTAGTAAATTTCTCCGTTGTGATCCTCTTGTGATCATGGGGAGTAAACCAGAACTGGCCACGCTTCAAACATCCATAGCAAGCTTCATACAGGGCCCTTCGTAAAAAGAAAAACAATGCTGGAACTGAGGTTTCTACTTTCCAGCAAGACTTTTATTTCATCCCTAGGCCTGCTATTCGAAAAAATCCTCCCTTGTGATCACAGCGTGATCACTGCCCCACGACACGAAAAATCAACCCCTCCGACGCCATAAAGCCTCCAGTTGGCTTAAAGACTTTGGTGTGCTTCTAAAACGCATGTTTTTGCCAAGGATATCAGGAAATAGTTCATTGGGCGCCAATTGGCATGGCCTCTGCAATGCGCCATGCATAGCGCTTTCACGCAGAGGTATTGGGAAGGTGCAATTTCTAGAAAGGGCTTCCTCCGTGCAAGTAGATGTGCTTCTGCGATAGAAAGGTCCGGAAGTGTATTTCCATCTGTTTATTAATTCATGGCGGATATTCATTGGCGCGGAGGTGGGTAGTGACAAGTGGCGCGCTTACCACTCGCGCGAGCCGGGTTCAAATCCCGGTCCTTCTACCCTACGGGGACAGTGAATTGGTACCAGGTTCGTCTGGGAGGATAAAACACTTGTACATCGGCTGGCCACCGCAAGTCATTGTATAGGCCACATCGCATTCAATAAGCCACTACGATTCTGAATGGAAGTAGAATGCGTGCCGCATCCCACAAAGGGGTTGATCAACGGCGGAGACTTCATCCTTCTTCTTTTTTATTTATTCATGACGTCGTTGTGGGCGACCATCGTATTTTCTGTCATCGCCCGTTCCCCACTTCTGCGCTGGCAGGTTGCTTCTGTCTTGTGTGGGTCTCTTCAGGGGTTCTTCACATGGATAAGTCTTTCATCATTGAAGCTGAACGACATCTGGGTATCGCTGCACCCTCACTTCAGAAAGGTCCCCGCGCTTACGACCCCCCTCCCTCGAGGTCAAATACGACCCCCCTGTTGTGATGATCACAACGATGGCGTGCCCTGGTTCTTACACATCTGCTTCCATCGAGCATGTCATCGAATCTCCTATTTCCTATAAAACAACCGCCTTTCCTGACCTTCTTAGAAAATCTGAAGATGGACGGCTATTTGATGTTCCACTTGCACCCTTTCACAGCCACTGATGGGGAAAATTCCGTCAAGGCCAAGGGCAGATAATACAAGTAAGAGCAGCACTGGTGCTCGTAACGGTTTACTATGGAATCTGTCGCAGAAGCATATTACCAGAGCAGAATATCGCTAAGAGAACATGTCAGAACCAACTTGTCGAAGAGTTTAGTAGGATTCCCCGTGCTTCTACCGAAATTTGCCCGCGTATGAGTGTTTGTAGTAGCTGGTTGCTGAGAAGACTTTGTTGAAAGCACACCCGCCATCCTATGAGGGCTTAACAGCTAATAAATGAACTAATAGTTCAAATTTCGGACCTTTTCACCATTTCACTCGTGAATATTTGTGGTTCAAAAAGTGCTTTCAAACAAAGATAAACGAAATGTGATATTGCTAACAACTTCGGTGGAAGTCTTGAACTCGCTTACCGTATTCGTCAGATTTTGGTAGGGAGGGTCGGGTAGTGGTGCTTTGATTCCGAGACGATGCGATGCGAACTCTCGGTCTTTTCACCTCTGGTGGTCGTAGAGAGGCTTTCGTTGGGCGAAATGGAGATGGAGTTCTGGTAGTAAACTTCGGAGATGGATCACTCTCGGCGCTTTCTTCAAAGTCGAAGAAAAGCTGAAATAAACCGGCGGTTGATCATCTATTGAGTGGAAGTCTCAAGGTTTTCAAGGAAGTTCTATACTGGAAAACCTGTCAAAGGACCATTTTAGCTGAACTCATTTCACAAAAATGATGTTTACCAATAAATACGTCGCGGTAACCCACCTGGACTGCGTCAATTCCTTCATCGTAATCATCCGTGTGACGTTTCCCAAGTCGATATCTATGAGTTTTCCTTTTCCTTTCGTAATATTCATCGTATTCTTCAGAAGAATCAGAAGTACCAGTAGAGTGCAATAGGCAACCCACCGCCTCGGCCCCACAAATTTCGGACTGACAATGGACGGGTGGGGCTGAGATGGACGCTGAAACTTCATTCCTTTGTGAGAGAGTTTTATATGGGTGGTTTTCAGAACCTACGCAATTTGTCCTTCTCAGACGTTACCAGTCTTTGAAGTGTATGATGGAATAGTGAGCAACAGAAGCGAATTGTACGTGATGTCAGCGCCTCCAGCTGAAATCACTTTGCATACAGTGAAAGAGGTGGCACATTATGAAAATCTTCAACAAATACTACGCGATGAGTTGCGTTCTTTGACGTCCCTTTGTCAGTCGGCGTGCAATAAGCCTACCCCGGTGTTTCCTACAACTGGTCGTTTTCTACCCAGACCGGCCACAATTGGAAGAAAAGGCAGCCGCGGGCGAGCTCACCCCGTACCCCCTAACACCGTGCCGTCAGAGTGCGACAGTAGCAACTGTACGTGATAACATCTCCCTCGAAAGCTAAAGGCCAGTCAACCATCAGCGCTCTTATCCCTTTAGAATACGATTGGACCTTCTGTGAGTGGAGTTTCCTCCATCATTATAAGGGAATCAAGAAACGCGTAGATCTGGTGACAGCTCAACTTAAGAACGTTTTGCAATGGCAAGATATTGGGTTAAGTAGGATTCTCGCGCCACTCTGAACGGACAGTTCATTGGCAGCCCGCTAGAGAACAAAAAAAGATTGATAATCAACGTAGGTCTGAACACGAAATCAATCGCTTCTTATCACCAACTTTGTTGCAGGTCTAAAGGAAAAGATCGGGAATCCGCTCATCGGACTAGCACAAATCCCAGTGACGGGTGGGTTGCCTTGATTGAAGGCTTCTCCCATAGAGCAACATCCAGTCTGAAAGTTCTTTCAAAATGTCGCGGTGTTTTTCGCTCAGCCCAGTGGTAGTGCTTTACTCGCGTAACTGGCTGCTGAAGTATTGCCTACGTACGATTGAGAGTGATTCGTAGTGACAATTCTCTCTAAACTCCGAAACCTAGCAGGGTCTGTGATTTCCGATGCTTCGCTTTTGCTTACCTTAGTCAAAAAAATGCCTAATAGAGAACCCGCTTTGTTAACAAAAAGCAAAATAACCACTAATCAAAATGTTTACATTAATAGACAGCCTATTCCTCACTCACCTGGACACCATGTTGAACGATAAGATACTTGGCGAAGGCTGGGTTGAGATTGTCGAGATTCAATTGTGAGCACTGAGGTACAGCTCCGCAGATTTGCGAGAACAGCTTCTGTAACGTTTTGAACGCGAATTCATTTGGAAGGTTGTAGAGACAGGGTCAACTTTTGGCTTATGAATGGAAATTACCTGATTATCCTCTTCGAGATCGTCATCAGAACTTTGCAAAATACCATTATCTACGCACTCGTAGATTCCTATCTGGAAACAGTTCTCTGAGATGGCACTGAGTAATTTGCCTAAGGGCCTGTTTCAAAGCTAAATTTTTCACTTGCAAGCGGCCAGACATGGAGCAGTATCTTGAAGCGTCGTGAAATACTCAAATTAAATTAGTCCAAGCTTATCGCTTCAGATTTGGATAGCTCTTGCATGCTGTTTTTGATAAGACAGTGACTCAAGCGCCAGTCTGCATCCACAAAACACTGAGCTAGTGCCCGAGATACTTTCCAGAGTGACCAGGTTGCGATTTCCCTTTGGTCCCATAATTCTTACGTTTGACAGGGATCAGTCCAGTGTTTTGGAGCGATCTAGGACTGGTGTTAGAACCACCTAGCTCACTTTGTTCACTCCTTTCGTGACGTCTGGAGCACTGAATTCGAGGTAGCCGCACGCGGTCGTTGACGACGAGCACTGAAGGACGGTCTGTACCCGGCGAGAGTATCGTCTTCCCTGCCGGCAGAATACCTAAATCAAACGAGATGTTCCCTGCTGCCCTCCTACTTGTTTCGAGTTTGTTTGTATAAGAAATAACATTGGCCACAGTACCTGAAATGTTCGCACCATAACGAACTTGTTGCACTGTTGAATGCCCCGAATCAAACCATCGTGCGAGCTCATATGTACGAACAGAGAGCAAGCAGCGGGTACGATTGGACGAGATCACCGGACAGTGGGGCCGTAGAGTTGCCGCAAGAAGATCCCAGCTGGTTTCTTGTCGGAAGCAATGTGCTTGCCTTACGTTCTTTGGTGTTGTTTCATTATGGATGGGAGGTGCAATGGGCGGGGCCGGCGCGGGTGGGCTGGGCCAACAAGGGGTGCAACGGCAAGAGTGCTCTTGTCCCTTGTAGCTCTTGTGTTGCGAAAGTGGTGGAACCGCTACCGCTGTAGACGAGGATTTTTTGACGGAGAAAGAGCAACTGGTATGTGGTCGCGATGTGTGCTCTAAAGTTCTTGGACGTGATACTGCAGCAAATGGCGCGGTACAAATAAATATCTTACACAGCTGAAAGGGGTAAGGGTAAAGAGAGCCTTGGCTTAGGAAAGGGCACAGAGAGCATTCATTACAATATCAGCCAAGTGTTTTTATTTGTCCTTGAAAAATTCAATAGTTTGCATTAACGACCATTAAAAACAGGGCACCAAGCCGTTGGGGAGGAATTTTTTGAAATACCATCCCACTCCCTTAAAATTTCCTGCTCTGGTACGATCCACCTCTCAACTCCCCACTACATAGGGAGTGAAGTGGTATTCATAAGAAAATGAGCTGTAATCAGCTAGTAGATGCTTTGGTTATATTCCTCTTGACAATAGTGTAAACGCTTTTTGACCCAAAGGTGTGTGTCATTGTCATGGAGAAAAAACTCACTTTCACATTGTATGGAGCAAGCGGCAGTTCGAGCGCTTGCAGGACTGGAACCAGTAGAAGAACAGTGTAGTACATCCGGACATTCCATTAAGACATCCTGACTGCCTTCGGACTAAATTTTTTCCTAAAGTAATTATTACGAGTAACTATGGCACCGAGGGCGTAGAAGGCGTGCGAAGTTCTTACAAATAGAGCATAGAGCGAGAAGATTAGACGTGAAGAGTAGACTGGGAAATCTAGTTGTGCTCTTGTTCCATTTTCTTAAACTGGGATTTTTTTAGCTCCGCAGTACATAAAATATACTGCTACCAAGAAAGTTCATAGAATATGCCATCTGTGTAAATAAGAAAGTGCGGCTGACTAGGAAAGTTCTTCTTAACTAGTTAACTCAACATGCTGCAACACACCCACGCCAAATCAGTTATGTCTTGGTGCGAATGCTGCGCAGTCACGTCATTTGCAGCTCTTCTTTCGCCTCCCCAACGGAACTGGGTGTAACGCCACTCAGCCGAGGTTTAACTATACGTTGAATTCTCATCAGGATGAGCGGGGAAAGTGCGAGTTCCGGTCACTGCGCCTCCAAATACAGTCCATATTCTGAAGATGAGGAGGGCGTGGTTTGAACGTGGCAGTGGCTGCGTGTTCGGTGAGATTTGTTCTTTTGGAGGCAGCTGTAACGATATCTTTGTCTATGAGAGGACATGATCATAGTTGTCTCTAGTGGAAAAATCCGCCCAGAGACGCGTCCTACGCCATTTTTGAATAAAGTCGCAGCAACGCCCTCTCTATCTCCGCTAAATTAACATTGCTTGCTCCCTACATAAGTGAATCGAGGACTTCCCATTGAACAGTGTGTAATATTAATCTAGATTTGATTGTACTTGGATCAGCAGTGAAAGTTCTCACTAGATTGATGGGTGGAAGATTATACTAGAGTGATGGGCTTGATAGATAGGGGAAATGTCCCAACAATTTGGTCTTGGTCGCCAAAAAGGAAGAAACTTGTTAAACATTAGAATTTGGCCGAAGTACAACAAAAATGAAACCCTTGAGATCTGCGCGATACGTTCATAAAGAGCACTGAGTTGGACAGTTGGGAATGGAGACCTATGAGTAACAGGAGAGAAGACCCATTGCAGCTTCCTGGGGAAATCTACAGGGGGGGGGCAATAAAAGAAATCACTTCTTCTTCCTTGACTTTCGAGGCGCTATAAGTTACACTTTATTAAATTCTGATCGGACATTTTACCACCATATTAAAGAGCATATTAAATACTATCATGACACTCCGCCACAGCCTTCTGGACGAGCGCCATCGAGAGATTCTGGCACGCGACCGCGATGTGGTGCCCTGAGATCAGCGAGATAGTCACCTATTGAACCTCCACGCGAACCGGGTGATTGAAGGGGTTCAGATCAGGTGACTGATGGTTTGGATATTCCATCTTCTTCAGGTACTCAACCCCCTTCCATTCCAAGTAGGCGAGAGTTTTTCCAACGCCCTCGATTCCAGGCACCCAATGCTGTAGCAGTACAAAGTTTCCAAGAAGGTACGGGCGACGACATGTAGGGAGGATATTCTTCTCGAGTTGCTCGATGTAACCGCCAGCGCTCACCTTCAGTCCGGAGTCCAGGAAGAAAATATGTCTTTCCATACCAGGTACGTCCGCCCATACCATCAACCCGTGCCTTGGCGACTGTGGTGAAGATGATGTCCTAGACGTTGTCGGAGCTGCTCGATGTTGGAGGTCTTCCAGATCGAGAGTACTGGTCTCCAGGTAGCTATCCATGGGTGACTCCCACTAGCAGCTGTTTGGAGGTGACATGAATTCCAAAGGTCTTCTCCAGTCAGGCTGCGACTGGAGATGACTTCATATTTTGGTGTACATGAAGGTGATGGGCAAGAGCCAGCTCCTGCTTATCGAGGAACATCTTGGGTATCTTCCGCCCTGGTACTCGTATCCACGTCTCTGTCTGGGCTGCGAAAACTTTGCTGATATGTGACTCGGTCGAAGTGACTTTTTTTGCCCCCCCCTGTATGCAGAAGTTTGAGCGATTCCGGACACTATTTACAGCAGGACTGCGCTCTTCCTGATAAATTTGCCTTTTTATTGGTAGATGCAGAAAATGAATCTTTTGTTTGGGAAGATCCGTCGCCTTTTTCCCCTCCCTACGTGGCTGAGGCCACTTTACTAGCCGAGGTTTGGCTAATAATAGGTGCAGAGATCCCTGAGAAAACTTAAGAGTCCACAGTATGATTCCTACAGGTGGAGGAGCTGACTCTTTGGTCAATCTTTTTTTATTCTTCCAGCAAAGTTCTGATTGGAGAACTTTACCTATTCTAATGAATGTCTGTTTTCTCAGTTTAGGTAAGATCGTAGATCATCGTTAGTATAAGTTGAGTGTTGTGGAAGCGCACCTGAGCGTGCATAATAAACAAATAAATAAATAAATAAAAATAATGCCGCAATCAGTCGAGGCGATAGCAGAATGGGCGGAGTTAGCGCGCCTCCGGCTCCCTTGCTTTACCAATGGTGATCAGTTAGCAATCGAATTAGGAAGCAAACAACCAGTGGTGGAAACACCGTGGAAGGATTCAGCCCTCTTGAAACCGCCTCGACCGACGTTACCAAACTGTAACTGGTCAGGCAACGACATGAACTTCGTGACAGCGGCAGTTCAGCGTTACACAAATATTAGGTTGTCCGGAAAGTTCTCAGCGTTTTGAGTGTTTCACTTTAAACGATCATAACTTTCTTAATACTCATCGGATTTAATCGAAATAAGCACCGTTCGAATCAGCACACTTTTGCCAATGTGACACCAGTCGATAAATCCCATCAAAGAAAAACTGGGTGGTCGAGAATCCACGAAATCTACGAAGGTTTGCCTGGTCCTAATTGATGAAGTATTTTCCAGCAAGTTCTGAAAATGTTTGAAAAGGTGATAGTCGGTTGGCGAAAGGTCTGAAGAATATGGCGGTTGAGGTAGAACTTCAACCCCCAATTCGTTCAATTTATGGATAGTGATTTGTGAAACGTGTGGGCGGGCGTTGTCATGCAAAAGAATCGGACCCTTTCTGTTGACAAGTGCTGGCTGCAGCTGACGCAATTTTCGGTACATTTCGTCGATTTCTTCACAGTAGGACTCTGCTGTGATGGTTTGGCCTGGTGACAAAAAGTTATAGTGGATCACACCAGCCGATGGTCACATTAACACGTTGACGACGGTGTCGGACAATGGTGGGCGACAGCCAGTCTGTCTCATGGGACGGTGTCGGACAATGCTGTCCGACAGCATACTGCTCTAATAATAAAGACGTGCGAGCAACCAAGTTTGTTCAAAAGATGTCTATAGGAGTAGGCTGAAATTCCTTGGGAACGAACAGCACAGTGGTTTGGCCCGGACTGCCCGCCGCCCGCGCCACAGGCGCTAGCGCCAAATACCTTAGGTCACCGAAATCGTTGAAAACTTGTCTCGTGGGGTAGCTTGAGCCCCTGAACACGAATATCACATTCATTTCCAGGGAAAATGCGTGGCGCCTGCGCCAAAATACCATAACTCACCAAATTCGCTGAAAACTTGCCTACTGGGGCAGCTTGAATCCATGGCGACACAAAATATCACAATCGCTTGCCACAAACATTTGCCTGGCGCCTGCCGCCAAAAATGTCGCTAGATTCATCATAAAAATTCGCCTGAAAACTCTGTCCCTACGTGAACCCGACTCCTTGAATAAAATATCATGTCTACCTAACGCCTTGACGAGGAATTCCCATCAATGGTGGACGACAGAAAGTTTGTTTTGTGGAACGGCGTCGCCCAATGCTGTCCCACAGTTATTATATAACTCAAAATCTGCGCGATTGTTTCACTTACTTTTCATAAAATTAGTTCAAGAACAAACATTTTCCGGGTCGAGGGTGGTGCGATATCTGTTCAAGTACCACCCCGGGAGACAAATTTCAGTCAGTTCTGTCTCCAGAGGAAGAATTTGGTAAAAAATGGCCTGATTTTGGAAGATTGGAGCAGTAAGAGCTAAATTGTGTCAAAGATTCGAGATTGGTATACTCGCCTCTTGCATTTCTCGATACATTCTGATAGTAGTAACACGTTTATTTAGAAATTACTAAGTTTCAAGGCGGAAAAATGTGCCGTCCCACGCGCAAGTCATGGGAAAAAATGGCTTCGTCGTCAGCCGTGACAAACTGTGACCAGAATCTTTTTTCGTGAGGGTTCGGCTTTGGAAATTGCCTCGGTGGTTCGTCGGAATCCAACCACTGTCCGGAACGTCTCCTGTTATCATACATGATCCATTTTTCATCACTGATGATAATTCGGTCCAAAAACGGGTCGTTTCTTTTGCGCAAAAGCAGTGAATAAGAAACCTCGAGACGTGCCAATTTCTGCCGGTCACTCAAATTGTGGGGCACCCACTTGTCGAGTTTTTTTTTCACCTTCCCAATGCATTTCAGACCATCCGCAACAGTGGATTTGGCAACGCCTGACAGTGGATTTGCCAACGCCTAGCTTTTCTGCAATCTCTCGAACTGTTTGGGATGGGTCAGCCTCCACCCCTTCAAATCCTCGTCAGATATTGCTTTAGGTCGACCGCTATGAGGTTCATCTTCAAGGCTGAAATCTCCAGAACGAAATTTGTTGAGCCATTGCCGCACAGTGCTTTCTCCAACACTATTGGGCCCCCACACCTGGTTAATTTGTTGAGCTGTTTCGATTGCGGATTGCCCCAATTTTTAGTCGAAGAAAAATATCGTCCGAAGTTGCTCTTTTGACATGCTTCAAAAAGTCTTGGGAAAAGGGGTTTATCAAGCAATGGTGAAACGGCAATTATACCATCAGATAGCGCAAAGAATTCTCTTCAGGATGTACTACTGAGACGCAAGGGAGAATGAGTTTTTAATCAGCAATGAATGTACAAAAAATAGTAACACAAAACGCTGAGAACTTTCCGGACAACCTAATAGGTAAGATCATTCTGGTTCTTGAAGAATTCCGAACAGGTGAGCCGTTTCTCCTAGATCTACGATTATACCCCCGAATCAGCTATTGGCAGA